GTGTCAGGCATACAAGCATGCTGCAGTAGAAGCGCGCGAGTGCAAGCATTCCTGCTTGGCTTTCTTGCTAGCAAAGGCCAGACACCCTTTGATTTGGGTCGGGCCCAGGGTACATTCATTGTTTGTGAATCCGCCAGTCAGAGTGACAGCGCATGAATTGAAACATTGATGTGCTTTTTCTTGGGCCTTTTCCCAAGAACGAATGACAACAGGCACATTCGCGGGGCTTGTGGAAAACTGGGAGCATTGTTTGCTCTTGCAGAATCCGAACTGAGGAAGCTTTGATAGAAATCTCTTGTGCAGCCCTTGCAGCAACCTAGTTCCCTATCTTCCCATGGCAAAACGACAGGAGCGAAACCCAACGCACATGAGCCACGTGGCCCTTTGAGCCACACCAATGCATCGGTGGTTGGTTTGTTTCCTAAAGCGCCTCCTGTCAAACCCCGCTCGCCGATCCCCAGCAATATGACCCTTTCCTGCCGATTGCCAGGTTCCAAGTCCTGAACTTCATCGACACAATTCCTTCCAAGAAGGCCGAAGCTTGCCACTCTCCTGTTGCCGGGCTTGGGCCCCTGGGCCCTGGGGCCCTGGACTTGTGGGTTTCACTTGCGAACACTCAGGCGTTCCCTAAAACAGGAGAGAATCTGCGAGTCTCTGTTGCGTGGCTGCATGGGCTCTGCTGGGCATGCAGCCTCTAGAAATGTCCATTCGAATTGTTTGTGCGCTGGTCTGTTTCACGGGACCAATCCCCGATCGGAGACAACTATGAGGGCACCGGAGCGCAGAATCGAGCACATCACGCGAGGGCTACTCAGTGCCACGCCACGAAATAGAAATGCGAGGTCATTTCCAGTCTCAACACACACTTCAAATACCAGCTGCAACTTCCCAGATTTCGCAAAGTGTCCATTTGTAGGCCAGACTCCCAACAAAATTCCATTTGCACGTCGGTTTTCATGTCGATTTTTACGTTGCTACAACCGGCTGCACCGTCGGCTTTCACGTCGCCGCCAGGCATTGGGCGCTCAGCTCTTGGAGTATCGCCTCGCACTAAAAGACTCGGTTTTGTCCAACGTGGCGTTGCAGAGACCCCCGACCTTTGCAACCCCCCCAAAAAGTCGGAATTCTGTTTTGTTGCGATAATCAACTTGGTGCTTCGTAGCCGTCCGGGTCCTTAGGTTGTTTTAAAGCAAGTTACTTGGTTTGGTGGTGGCTTCCGCTAAAGCCACGAAAGCAATCAACTTTGAGCAGTCGATCTGAGGACAGGCCAGTTAAAGGAGGTTGTGCACTGCCGTGTTTGAACCAAGGGTAGGTTGGCATTTCGCAATTTGACCTTGAAGTGGAGTAGCAGGATTGACTCGATGTATCAATGACAAGATTGAGCCAGAATCACCATGTTGTTTGATGTGAGGGGGTCCCCCCTTCCACCTTTGTGTTATCCCAGTGATGAGGCCATGGCTTTCAGCATGATCCTTAGATTTTGAAGCCAGAAACCGGATTTCTCAGACTATGCGAAGCTGCATTAATTCAGCCAAAGCATTTATTCAGCCAAACAGCCGTGCTGTAATACTTTCCTCCAGCGTCTTGCACTGCGTTGTAAAGTGACAGGCACCCGGGTGTGTTGCTTGTATCCTTTCTCAGTATTCATTGCGGGCGGCCAGTGGGGATATTCGATTATTCCGCCGCGGCTTGGTTTGCTCGTTTGGGCAACAAGGCGTGATGCAGCAGGAGTCCAAGCCGCCGGTGAAAACGGGTTCCACTGCATGACACACGTAGCGAGGCTCTCAGAATGCCAGCCCTTCGGCAAGCGCAGACGGAGAGAAGGACGGGTAGGTGACCAAGACCTGTGGCCATTCGAAAAGGCTTCACCACGGGACCAGGTGTTGGTTCATGCTTCCACCTACCAGGGTTCCATTTGGAGTACATATGTTTGACCCACAGCCATATGACAATCTATGATGGTGTGTGTGCTTGTGTGTGTGTGTGTGTGTGTGTTTTTAATTGCACATTTAGCAGATCATATTCAAGTCACATATTGCCGCAATATGCAGACAGCAATGATATGATGTTGAATAGTATTGAATAGTGATGCTTTCAGCTTCTGTATTTGTAGTTGGGATGTTGGTTGTGATCGTCGTGCTTTCTGTTCTATTGCAGTGAGACAGCACATGCTATCCTCGCCTCCCAGTAACTGCATTCCTTTCTCTTTGTTGAGAGTGGCTCGTGTGCCCTCCCGCTCACTAACACAGCAAGAATCTGAGGAGAGTCCTTTGAAGGAGGAGTTTCCCTTGTTTGTCAAACCCTACTGTGGAAGGATGAAATGCTGCATCGCTTTGAAACCATGATTGAAACCAGTGTTTGTTGGTACGCCTAAGAGGATTTCGCAAGCATCCACAGTATGATCCACAGGAAGTTTGCTAGTTGTTGCCTGCGCCTTCTCTTTGTCTTCCCGATTGAAGGAGCTGGGCGAGGAGCCTGGCACGGAGTATGGAGAGGTGGAAGAAGTCTTGAAGGCGACGGGGAGATGGTGTGGAGCTCTGGCATGGAGTTGTTCTTTGTTTTTGAGGAGTTTGCCTGGCAGGCTGGCAGGTTTGCGTGTTCTTCACACGGTACGCTGAAGTGGTCGAACTTGCATCCTTTGCACACTTGGCATGACCTGGTGTGTGACAGCGCAGCTCTGCGCGTTGAGGCACTGGTGGGGCCCGGCTTTGGACACCCTGGTGTTTGAACGACTCACACAGGTCGCTGCCAAACATGAGAGGCCAGCTAGGAACAAGTGCACCTTATTTTTGGCCTGCACCAATTCGTCATTTTGTTGCAACTATCCACAGCCTTCTCACCAATCTGGGACAGGTGTTGCGAAAGCTTGCAGCACATAGTACTGTTTTAGTTCTTTTTGGATGCCACATTCACCGCACATGACGGGGCACATGACGGGGTCGAGTGAGTGCTTCAAGCTCGGCATGGTATTGTTCTGCTAGCGCTGTTGGTCCAGTTGGAAGTCTTGCCGTGGACTGACCTCTGATTTGCCTCAGCGGGACTCGCCAGGCAATCCGACTGCTTCTTCAGGACCGAACCTGAGACATGGTCCCTTGAGAGTCATGTGCAAGGCCTTGGTTGCTGAATGGGAACTGGAATTCTATTTGTGAACCAAAGGTCTGTTGTTTTGAAAGCGGGCCAACCAATTTGAGCATTTGAAGGGGCCCCGGTCCTTTGTTCTGGATACCCCTGCAAACATCATCGAACTTTGGGGGGGGTTGTATCTCCATTGGAATCGTGAGAGGCTCTCAAACATGTCCTTTTTGATGTTCCAAGATTCTCAGGCTGGGAAACTCGAGAACACACGTGAAGGACTACACATGCAATCTACCGTGGATGGACGAACTGGAATTGAGGGACCCCCCCCCTGCCCGTAAGGTAAGGGGGGATATGTCGCAACCAGCCATCCAAGTTATCTTCAAACCACAAGTTTTCTTCGGGCGGAAGGAAACCGGAATCCGACATGTCAACGAGGCCGGTGGCCAGACGCGGTGGCTTCAAGATCTACTGGAGCCCGGCAGGCGGTCACCGGCTGGCTCTAAACCAGCACCCCCCCCAACCACTGTGTTGGAACCCTACTTGAGCCACAATCAAAACCCGGGTAGATGAAGGTTGGTACACGGATTTCACCCATCCACAGCATCAAAGGACCCCTCAGTGAGGTCCCACAACCCATGTGTCCCGTTGCTCAAGCTGTCCCAACACGATGAACAAGGTGCATGCCTCGGTGCAAATCATACATTTCTATTGGTCCTTGGCATGTTGACGCGAGTGTCAGTCGAATGGCAGTGCGCGAATGTGTTCTCAGCATGAATGCCTTCAAAATCGAGAGGCCGCCGCTCCAAGTACATAGCAACTATCTACATAAGTGACTTCACAAGTTAAATAAGCGCTCTGTACAGGGTTTGGTGACATGCAAATTCGGTGATTCCATCCAAACATGCAGTTTGAATGGATTGTCAGCTGTTTAGATTGAATCGAACACTCGCGTTTTATATAGGATTTGCAGATTTTGAGGTCAACATCAGCAAATAAGAGTCAACTAACTGGCCTCATAGGGCAAGCACCCAACTCAAAAAAGCCAAAATGACTCAAACCCAGATTTCGAGGTCAACCAACCAAACAACCTATCTCCTCAACATCCACACGCATTCAACTGCAAACGGTTTGGAAGATTTCGACAAGGCTGCCTATCCACTTCCATCCTTTCACAGGCTTCCTTCAGGAACCATCTTCAAGAAACCTCCTTTCATCAAATGACCACTGGGAGGGAGGGTACCCTCGAGCTTGCCGGGCAGTAGCAAAAGGGCACTTTACTTTGGGGTTGACCATGTTTGCTGGGAACAAACAAACGCAAAGAGATATGGTGTTTGTTCCTGACAACCACTTAAAACCTTCCAGCACTCCGAACTTGCCTGCCCGTTTGTTTCCCATGTCCAAAATCCCAAGTGAGTCATAATCAAAAACCTGCATTCAAAAAAGTCTACCCAGAACCATGGCAAGAATTGAAAAGGCGGATTTATGGCTGGGATGGTCCCTCGCACCACATGGAAACCGTGGGAACCCTTGTTTGTTGGTATTTGCGGGTGAATCATCATTCCAGGTTTGCTCGGGTGATTTCGTCCATCCACAGAAGGGAGCCCGAATTTCGAGTTGGGATTTTGATAGTTGAGCCCAACTTGGTTCAATCTACTGACCAAATATTCAATATATCGAACGACGGCTATCGAACTAGCCCATGGGCCGCTAGCATTCGATTCACATGTCCTGTTGCTCCAATGTTATCCACAGACTCTCCTGAATTCATGGAGCTTCAGTCACTTGTTGGACAGACCATTTTGGTGGCAAAAAAGACGCGTGGTTCCCTTTTTGGGGGCCATCCAGCGGGAAAGCGAGCAGAAAAGGGGATTTTGACACCACCTGCCACCTACCTCATTTGTTCTGGGCGAGGGCTGATTCTAGGGGTACCTTCCATTTCCATTCCTTCCAGGGATCCTTCTTTCTCTAGAAAAACCAACGGAAACCCAGAAGAAACGGATCCGGTTTTTGGAAAGGTTGAAAAAAGTGGAATCGGAATCAACCCCTAGACTCGGGCAAAGTGTGTTTCACTGAGTCCGTGCTGGCCACCCGTCTCAGTTCGGTCTTCAAAGCGCCGGAGAGTACAAGGCCGGCAGCTCCAAAAACTGGGTCTAAGATTCCTCATTCTCTTCATTTGGGTGCGGGTCAAAATTAAACCACCAGAACAAAACCACAGGTTTTCCATGTTTCCACTTGCCAGGGTTCATTCTCCGTGCGAAGGTTGGTGTTCCAGCTCTTTTCCCAGGGGTTTGGCGATTTTTCCCGAGGAGAAGGGTTCCCAAAGAGAACGGGGACAGCTTTGGGGACTCCCAGGCGTGAGGAACCGGGTGCATTGCGACAGGAAGGCGGTAGGGATCCGGGCGAAGCCACGCGAATGGCTGGTTCTCAGCAGGGACTGAGGGAATGACCCCAACCAAGCATCCCTTGTGGCTTCCTTTCAGGGAATCCCTAGGTTTACCTGGGCTATTCCCCTGCTTGCTCGCACCAGCAAGTTGGGCAGGTACCATCCACTACCATCAGATTGTCCCGCAGCGGTTTCAACTTGGCTGCTTCAACTCGTTGACTTTTGGTGCAGGAGTCTTGGTTGCGGAATAGGCTCCCATCAGCATGGAACTTGACGTTTTGGGGTCGTGGAAGACATGTTTTTTTCCCTTTGGCCGGCCAAGTTGGTGGGGACCCGGGGTGCCCTGACCACGGTGTGGTCATCCCATGCTTGGCTGAAGTGTGCAGCATCCAGACGGCGGCATGCTTTCAACATCTTTGAACCCAATCATAAACGGGCTTCTGTTTTGGGCTACTTTGGGCCAGGGTTTTGAGGATTTTGAAGGTATGGATGCGTACTGCCACCGATATAAGCTTGTATGGCAGTATGTTATACGCCTTATTTAACGGGAACCTAACCTCCCACACTTCCAAATCACGTACCTGACAGAGTTGCTATGAGTTGTGACAGGGAACTACCTTAAAAGTGGGGGACATGAATCCGCTACATGTCCACCAAAGGGTCCAGCACCCATCAACATTCACACCCGCTGTAGGTATGGGGAAACCATCATGTAAGCCTAGGGGGAAGACACGCTGGGTAGAATTTGAAAGCACTGGGTTTATCTACATGTCCTGTCTTCTTTAGCGGGACCTGCTTGGTTAAGGGAAGCCAAAAGGAAAAGAACCAACGTCCTCTCCCCTCGCCCCACACTGCTTTTTCCCATGTCCAAAATCCCAAGTCCAAAAGGTAGTGGTTGGGTGGGTGGGGTGGGGGGAACAAACATGGCGGGTTGCCGACAAAAAGAAGTACCCTCAAAACCGAACAGCCGCACTGGTTGGTGTTTTTTCTCTCTTTTTTTCTGGGACACCAAAAGGAGCAGCCGAAGCCATGTTTGGGGTCCTGAAAAAAAAGGGACTAGCCGCCCAGAGGTCGAAGTTTCCAGCCTTGGATGCTGAGCTGGCGGATGAGAGCTCGCTCTGAGGCGAGGCGGGGTTGGGTTCCATGTGGAAACGCTCGGGGAGCTGGTCCTGGACCCCCAAAATTGCAAAATGGCGCAGCGGGTTTGTTTCCTGTTGGTTTCCCCTTTTTTTTGATTGTTTTTTTTTGTTTATAAAACAAACAAAACATGTGTATTTATTCTTAACTGTGTAGTACCCTGAAACAAGGCAAGCAATGGCGGTTCTTTTAGTTAGCTGGTTGGAGGTTACTGAGCCGTCGTGGGCGTGTGGTTGGCTAGGGGTTCGCCGATCTGAAAAGATTGAGTTCCAAATGCAAATGGGAAACAAATGGGAAGAAGGCAAGGGCCTCGCTGTCGCATTCACTTTGATTCGTCAAATGTCTTTCCCGACAGGGACCCTTCTTGGGAAGCCACCGACGGGGGAGGGGGAGGGCGTCCATGTTGATTTCAGTGGGTTCCTTGTTGCGCACTATGTGTTAAGACAGTTGGTGACAGTAGTAAATTAGGCCTAGCCTTTCCTATAGGTTTGAGCCTTTTTGCCTGGTGATCGTTTGGGGGGAAAACGATTGACGTCGATGACGCGACTGATCGCGAAGTCTCAGGCTCCAAAGCGCAAGAGCAAAGCGGGCTTGAGCAAACGATGCCGGGGCTGGGCTGAGCAGCCTGGTGTAGGGGAAAGCGATTGCCAGAATGTCCAACTGGAACCCTCTTGCCTGATCTTCGCGCAACCGCAGCTCAGCCCACTTTCCGTGACCTTCAGCGTTCTTTGCTCAGCCCAAATCCCCGGCCCAAGCCAGCCAGTTGCACGCCAGCACGCAGCCGCCATGGCCGGCTAAAGCTGGTGCCTTTTGCTGGGGCTAAGGCCAGGTGAGGGCCGCATGATCTACTTTGGTTTGGGCAGAGCCTGAGGAGTGGTTGGGGATGTATGATCTAACATGGGCAGAAGTTTGGCCGGAGAAGGGTTGGGCATGCATGATCCAGGGTCTGACTGCTTGCTGCTTCCAAGGCATGGCGCACCGCAACGCGGGGTTTCCTTATCACGGGTGGCCGAGCGACGGGCTTGGCGCATCCAGAACGCCGTCTGTAAGGTCCCCGGCTTCCTTCTTTCAGATTGGAACGCGAACGATGAGTTGCGAATGCGAAGCTGAGTTCACTGCGAGCGCAAAAGGGGAGAGGGCAATCGGAGGTTCTGACGGCGAGATGATGTTTTTTTGGTCGGATGATGAGTTGAAGGAATCTATGGGATAATTGTAAACGCTTCGCGTTGCCCGCCTTGGCCAGTCCACTTTTGGCTTTGAGGTAGAGGCGGTGCTTTAGTTTGCCTTGAAGTGCCAGTATCAAAGTGAGTGAGTCGGCGCCGAAATGTTGGTTTCCAAGGTAGAGGGTGGGTGCATGTCGGCGCGGTTCCACTTGGCTTCAAGGGCCAGAACACAAGCCGCAGAGAGCTAGAGAATGATTAATTTGACTGTTTTTTTGGGTAGATTTGCCAGGAGGATTTGACGGGAGTTGGACCTGTAAGGGGCTTGGTTTCTGAAGGGGAATTTGGCCGGTTCCTAGAAGGATTTGACCGGAGTTGGGCCAGCTTTCAGAGGAGGAAGTCGACCGGGATCTAGCGGGATTTGGAGGGTTTGGCGTTTCTAGAAGGCCAGTTTCTACGGTAACAAGGGGATTTGATCGGTTTAGGGAATCAAGCAGAATCAAAGTCGAAGGGATGTGACGTCCTGACCCTGCAGGGGCTGCTTCCAGGCTCGCTTCAGGCGGACTGGAGACAGCTGGAGCAGGGGTTTCGGCGCGACATGAGGCACATAATCTGGAAAACAATGTGGAGAAGGACTTGCGCTTTCAGTGCAGGCACATGGAGCACCGCAGCTTTGAGCAGATCTAAACTGTCCTTGGACTTTGAGACCAGGAATGAGGACTGGCTTGCGCCTGCCGCGGCTTGTCGCTCCACTACTTACCCGTTGCTTGCGGACAAGGCTGCGAAGTTAGTGGAGGAGCTTCTGCCGAAGAACTGGCCCCACGCTGGCTGCGCAAGGCCGGAGCCCTCAGGCCCACAGCTGCTTTGCCAAGATGGGGTCGTTCTGCACCAGGACACGCAGGGCTGCTTGTGACCAAGCGGGCTGGCGTCCCATTTTATCGGGCTGAACTTGACAAGCTTGCGCGGGACCGAGATTGAGAGCGTGCTGCAAGCCATCTGCAGGGTCCCTTGCCGGAAGACTTCACATAGTCGGTACGGGTGGCCAAGGGCTTGCTTGAGCTGAGCAAGCCGCGCCCGCCGTTGCGGTTCATTGGCCGAAATGCATCTATTCCTTGCGGCAATGCGTGGCTACGAGGAGATCCTGATCAACTACGGCCAACGTGCCAAGAATGGGAAAGGACTTGGACCTACTTTGTGGAGTAGAAAGCAAGCTCCTGACGGGCATCCGCAGCGGGGCAGAGGGTGCGTTGCCAGATTTCATGGAGCTCAAGGCGTGCCGGTTTGTTGCTGTCGCAGAACTACCCGCTTCCAACTTGCAGAGCAAGAGGCTCAAGAAGCTGAGGGATCAAATGGCCACCCAGACAGTGTGGCGCCATCCGGCCCAATTGGAGCACGCTTGATGATGGAGCGCCGCGCTCCAGGAGCTTCAGCTTCATCCATCATGCTCTTCCGCAATCTGTGCGATCCAGGTCGGTCGCCTTCATGCACCGGTGTCTGCTTCCAGACTGGCGTCTGATTTAAATGTCTCAAACCGTAGACAACCTGCTAGCCACAAAGTTCACAAGCCTACACAAGCTGGGGCTTCAGGCTTGCCCCCCCCAGATCCTTCACACACTTTCGCCGCAGAGAATTCGCACTTACCATGAGACACAGTGAGGTCAGTTCACTCTAAGAAAGAAGCAAATGCCGCTTTTCCGCCGGTTTTTTTTTTGCCTTTTGGACTCGTCAACCTGGTTCGACGGTTCAAGGCTTCCACAGTCCAGTTAATTCTGCGTCCTCACAGCACTTTCTCCGAAACAATCCCGAGGCAGGTCCCGTAGCAGCCAGGAAGACGGCGTAGGCACCATTCCCCTGCCAGGCAAGCCAGCCGCCAGGAATTTCAACATTCCCCGCTTCGTTGGTGCATTTCATTTTTTCAGTCAGCTGCAAATTTGCCTAGCGAAGAAGTGGAACAACGGCTGTTGCAACAGCAAGTTCGCGGGCATCCAACTCGTCCGGAGTGTGCCTCACGTGCGGCAAAGGTCTTTTTCGAAGAATCATTGCTTCAGCCGTGCGTGTGTGCGTGTGTGTGTGTGTACCACCTGTAAACTAAGGCCAAGACGCCTGACGGAGGCATTGAGTCGGGAGCCCCTCATAAGCCCACCCCCATGTTTCCGGAAGGCATCCGTGGAGCCGCCTCTTCTGCTTACGGGCAGCGAAAACCTGGTGTGTGTGTGCGTTTGCGCGCGCGTGGCCCAACCGCTCTGTTGTGTTTAGTGTGTGTGTGTGTGTGTTTTTTTTCTCTGCGCCTGTTGGATGCGACTTTCTTATGTTGTGCTCCGACGCTTTCTTCGAGGGAGCTCCCATCATTGTGGGCAATTTCGCAACACCCATCCTTTGGTGAAATTCAACACTTGCAGCCTTCAGGACGTGTGTTTCGCGCAGTTGCGCGGACGTGTTTGCTGTTTGTTGCGCATCCTCATTCCCGCAGAAGGTCAGAGGCAACTAGTGCCCTTTCAGGAGACACCATTTTCCATGCCCGCCGCAATTGCGGAGCAGGGTTTTGGACGCAATATTGTTTGACTACCTGTGTTCGTCAGGACAGAACCTTCAGCAAAGTGGACAGTGCAAAAAAGTCCTCAGCCCCCTTTGCCACGACTCAACGTTAAAACTGAAGGAACGCAAGCCAAGAACCCAAATGGCTGAGTTTTCCTGGAGGCCTCCTTGAGCACCTCAGCCTTCCGCATTTTGAACTAGAGTGGCCATGTCGACATGGTTATGTCTTTTGTTATGAAGAGCCTGGTACAATGAAACTCCCCGCTGAAATGAGGTGAGTCCTGAACACTGGCACGTGATGGACAACCATGTTGAATAAACGCAGTATTCCGACGGGGCATCATTGCGAGTTGAAACCTCGTACGACATGATTCGGAATGGCCAAGTTGCGCCCTTACCACCTGATTCAGCCGCCAGATCGCTGGATGCCGATTGCGGGTGATGCGCCGCGTTTATCTAAGCCTCGGTGAGGAGAAGCGCACTCGTCCACAGGGTGGAAAGTGCAAAGGGCCACTCGCCTGGCTAAAAGTTGCCTGTAGAACCTGTGTTTCGTATCAGATGCTCGGTGTTTCTTAGCATGACTTACCCACACTGGAACCTTCATCATGCCATGGAGCAATAGCACACAGAAAGCACATGCTCAGGTGCCTTGATCCACAAGCAGTTAGCATGTGTTTCAAGCCGCAACGTAGGTCTGAGAAAGAAACGACAAAAACAGTAAGATATTCACGAGGAATTGCGTTGCATGGGATGTCAGATCTAGAAGCGGAGCAGTCAACCGTATGCCCAAAAGCACTTGACCGAGGTAGGAATGGTTCCCGGTGCTTTTCAACTTGGGAACTCTGCTTTCACCAACTGTCCCCGTAGTCTCACCGGTTGGCACGCGAGCAGAGCGTACCAGTCCAAGGAGCGGAATCGCGTGCAGCCATGAAACAGAATTCTGGAACCATGGGTGCCACGTGTCCTTTTTTGAGAGAGCCCTTATTGGATTGCTTTTAAAGGGAAATCAAAGGGAAACCATTGGTTTGGGGGTTTCCCTACTTAGAGACAAACCCAGTGTGCGTGTGTGTGTGTGTGTGTGTTGTGAAGAACACCTGGAATGTTGACTTGTGATACCTGAGCTATGAAGCTGATCCCTGTTATGAGTTTGTCTCAGGCAGAGGCCGACTCGGAAAGTGTGAGATCTAGCAAAGCTCAGCTGCCAAGATGTGGGTTTAGCCAGGGCCGAATCTCGATGTATGTTGTTGTTGAATGAGTGGTGTCAAAGTTGTTTGCTGAGTTGTCTTACGACCATCTCCTGTTCAGCGTGTAAATAGGCCTGTGTCTATTGCTACATGGGTAGATCCACGAAGTCGGATTGTGTGCAAGCCAAACCGGGTCATTACACTATCTAGTGGGTTCCTTCTGACCTTGAACTGTAATCTGCCAATGTTTACAACACTTGGCTGAGAACAACAGATGTATCTCCAATGGTGACAGGCACATGAACAATCTGGGGCTGATACGAATGCTGCATGCTTCTTGAAAGACATCAGACCAGAATTACCATGATGCCGGCGTCGGCTGCTCATGGCACAGTTAATAGGGTCCCCAAAAGGTCACACGCGGTGCTTACTTCCACACCAGGTATGTGTCAAGGGCCATAGATGGCGGGCCTACCCTTTGTGTGTGTGTCTTTTTCTGAGGGTACCCTTTGTGTGTGGCTTTAAAGGGACACCAAAAAGAAAACCACCATTTTGGAGGGTCCCCTAAAAAGGACACTCTTTTGGCCTTTCTTTACACCAACCCACAAAGGTGTCCTCAAAGAGCACAAACCCACTCAGTTGCAGTTTCTAGAAACAACGGAAGTCCCATGGTTCTGGATTGATTTGTAGGACAGGCCTTGACCGGTTGCTCAGATGACCAGTGCCGATTGCACAAACGTCAACTTGGAAAGCGATGGGAAAGAGATGAAGCACCACTTGGATCAGCCAAGTGTCATCTGAGCGGAAATTTCGGTTGTGCCGTCGCCTGCTGTTTTTCCAGCAAAGGTAGGACGGTCAATGCCTCGAGGGGACCGCTAGCTCGGATCTGGGGGAGAAATGATCACTGCCGCGTTTGGGGGGGCCGGTGCTGTGCGTTCGTGAAAGCTGCAGTCACTTCACTGGGGGCCAAGTCAATTTCCTCGAAAGGAAGGCAATCATTATTTATAATGTGCGGAGACCCTATTTAGCATCCAGCTCAAATGTGACAGGTTTGGCGTTTTCAACTATTTCCTGGTTAATAGACGGCACGCCGTGGAAGTTTTCCAGTGAGCCGAACAAGAAGTGGCAGGCAAACCCCGGTTGTGACTCCACTAGTTCAACGGCCAAAGGTCCTTCGAGCCTTTAAATCCAAAACATACTGTGGAAGGACAACATCCTGCATCATGAAGTAGGTTGTTTATCCTAGTGTCATGGGGTTTCGTCCATCCCAACTAGTGCAGGACCTTGTCCATCCACAGTAGTTTGAACTGACAACTAGTGTTCCAGTGGTATCTCTTGGAAAGTCCATGATAGTTATCGACCTTCAACACGCGCTTCTGACTGCAGTGCTTTGAGCAAAGTCGAGCAGCTTCTGCCAGTTACACTTGGCGGATTGTTTGTGACTTCATTGAGTCCAAAAGGTGGTAGCTATGTTATGTTCGCTGTGCATGCAGAGCAGCACGGAGCAGCACGCGTGTGTCATGTGCGGCATGAGAGCTTAATTCGCATGCAGTATATGTTGTCGATTGATTCGAACGGCCAAGCAGCATGCTAACGTCACACACACACACACACCCACACACACACAGGCACACACACACACAGTTGAGGGAGGGATAGAGGCAGAGAAAGAGACAGAGATGGAGAAAGAGAGAGAGAGAGAGAGATGTTTTACATGTTGGCTCCGTTAGAGCTGTGCTGGGAGCACGCCCACTGGGGATACATCCCATTCTATGAGCAAACCGCTTAGTCTGTCATGGGCCATGGGTGGTTTGACTGGGAGACAACGCGGCACAGCCTGTTGCCAAAACGGTAGATATGAAATACATAGTTTGCAAGGCGGTGCATGCAACACGCGCAGGTTCACTCACCTGACAACACTGACGGCATACTCCTCGAGGAATGGACACACGGCATATGGCTTCTGATATGGGTTTGAGTCCAATTCAAAGGATCACTTTTTTATTTGTCTACTATACCCAGTTTGAATTTGTTCAGAGCTCATGTTCGGGTAGTCAGATTTTAATCTTTGACAAAACGCCTCAGCACCCATTTGCAGGGGGCAACAATGCCTGCAAGGACAATGAACCATATCGTGGGTATCGTTTTGTTGGGGGATCCCTCACTTTAGGCTGGCCTCCAGAAGCTCAATTTCAGCATGACAGTAAAACAAAAATGCCGGCGCTGCCCCCGAGTGCGATCGTTTCTGCGATTTTGGAAGTTCCAAGGCATAGTGCTGCCGTTTTCTCAGATACTTTGGGACATGGACCGGAGGAGATGCACTTTCCGCGGAACCAACAAAGCGCTCCCTGAACCTGCCCCGTGCGTTGTTTGAGCTGGGATCCTAGTACGTCTTGATAAGACTTGTTCGAACAAGCAAACACAGCTGCACCACATGCATGCTAAGAAGCAGCTCAAAAAGTCAGCTTTTCCGGTTCACCCTCCTTGCCCTGAGGGTCTGCCACCATGCAGACATCAAAGGTGCCCATGGCGTGCTCACCAGGGCCCTGGTAAAGCGAGCTCACAGTGACACCGACCCGTCGACCCATTGAGACCCCAAGCGCGTGCTTCGGATGGACGCTTCGTCGAGGGCCCGCAAGGTGCGCTGTTGGGTGACTTGTGAGACGTGGACTTTCCAACCTTCTGATGGGAATGTGTAATTGAGCTTGCATGCATGCCGAATCTCGAGTTTTTTTTTTTGGCACAACGGAATTTCAGGTCTGGTTTCCGCCATGACACCTCCCTTCAAGCCATCATCCAGCTCAATGAAATCAGATCGGTTGCATCGTGCCCCATGATTATTTGGGGTTGATCAATATTCCTGGCTCCAACATGACCATGGGCAGTCACCTCATGTAGTTCGGACTTTTTGATCAACCCCATTTGTTCGCTTCGACAGAATGGCCCGCCGTGCGGATGGTGTCCCTGGTGTTTTCCCAAAAAGGCCCCGCCCTGGGAGCTCGCCGTTCCACGTCGCTGAGGTCCGGGACCCCTAGACTCACCTCTGCCTGTCAATGTGTCAACCACGCCCGTGTTCGTGACAATTTGGTGAGCAGAAAGTCATGTTTAGTGCCAGGACCTGACAGTTAATTTAAGTCATGCCCTTTCTTGGATTCTCAGTGGCCAAATTTTACAGTCATAAGATCAGCTGGCAGCGGGGTGTAATCACAGGATTCACGAGTCCTTCTTCTAAATCCCAGATCAAGCCCAATCGTTTGATCAGCACCTCTCGCACTGCACCCCACCAGCTCTCGTTTTCCGTTAACTCATCGGAATTGGTCCAACTTTGTCCCTTTCATCCGTGGGTCTCTGAAGTACTCGGAACCCCCTAATATGGATTTTCGTTTTTTTCTCTTGGTTTCCCTGTAAAGCTCACCCCAACCGCCGAGTGCCAACTGAAAAAAAAGACGAGCCAGCGAGGTACCTGTCACGCTGCTCACGGGCTTTTTGGGCGCCGGCAAAACCGCCGTGGGCTCGGTGGAACTGGCCAGAGGGGGGTTTCATTCCAGGATTAGCATAGGGAAAAGCCACGGGCCAGGGTAAGGTGTCAGTGTGGTTGCGAAATCCGGAAACATTGCGCCAGCCGTTCAGAAACCCAATGATTCGATTCCCCAAAGTAAATGCCAAACAATGAATTATGGTTTCAGCCGTGGTTCCAAGTGGTGCAAACGGATTTCGTTCATCCAGAGTAGTCTCGCTTTGGGCGGAATTGATGCGACATTCTTGGACTTGGATTCATGGGCGAACCAACTCGGTAACTCGGTTTGCAGAGTTGGGGTTCTGGTAGACTGATATGGGTATGTGTTAGAATAGGGCGAACCTAATCAGGACCCCCCAAAGCCTATTAAATGGCTTCAGTGCGGGGTCCTCGAAAAATATTGTTTTCCTTTTGGGTTCCCTTTAAACCACCTCCCAAAAAAAGGCTACCCTGAAGAGAATACAGAGCCATAACACGCTGGCAAAAAGTTCGAAGTCGTTGAGATCGTGCAAATGTGCGAGCCATTGCACCCCTTATTCTCGTGGATAAGGCATGTCCAGCTCGAAGACCATGAGAAGACCTCAAGTTTGCAAATGTGAACGTGCTGGGATGCAAGATTGTACCAACCTTACACTGATGCGCCTGCTGACCACCCGTGCTTGTTGTTTCTGTAGCAAGCGCAGCCATAGTTCTGCTTTGGAGAAGTTGAGGCAAAATCACAGACTCTAGCTATTCATGTCAGGAGAACAGTGGATTTGCATCCTAGCAATGAGGTAAATGTTGTGAAGCCAAAAGCAGCATCTCCGTCTATGAGACCAAGAGGACGGCGGCCTTGGACATATGGAAGATTCTCTCACTCCGGAAAACGTATCCGAAAGACACAAACTTGTCCCATGTGCTTTGGCAGCAAACGAGAAGGCAGGGGTTATAAAGCAATCCTGATCTTGGTGTCAGCGCCTTCATAAGCTTTATAAGCACTACTATGCAGCAGAAAATTGCGGAATCACAAGGACAAGTACATGTAAAAGGCTGTAGCCAATAGTTGTCATCCGAAGAAACCCTCGCAAGTCCAGCAAGCCTGCGATACTGCGGCCCCCAGCTTCAACAGGAATGGTTTCCAAAGCAACACGAGATCTCTGCAGCACCGGCATGCATGATGATATGCAGCATGTGTAAGTTGTGATGCTAGCAAGACTCGGATATGCACCATAGTGCACCATGCTGTGGACAAAATCTTTTTCAGTTGGGATTGGTGGTTTATCAAGCAGTATGCATAGGGTTTCATGCATCACTGGTGCGAAGCGGAATTGTTCCATCGGAAAGGCTGTCTATTCCCGCTTGAAGTCAGCCACTGTCATCCGAGCCTTGAGGCCCGGCTCAATGCGACGCTGAAAGAAGGCAAGAGCCGTGTGCGGATGCCCAGGGTCCTTGGTCAATTCCTTAAAGTCCGGCTTGGTTTCTGTTTAATTATTTCAAGTTGTTGAGCTGGCTCCTGTTTGCCTTTAGAGGGAACTTTTTTTTGTTCGCCAGCTTGCAAGTCCTTGTGCTGCGTAGGTGAGAGCAATTTTGGCGGCTTGGCGCCTGAACCTATGCGCGCTTGATCCTCATGACAGCAAAAACGGTTTCGCCTGTTCGTGCCTCAAAGCAAGCGGGACCTATGAGCGGTTTCCTCTTGGCTCCCCTTTTTGTTGACCCCATATGAGTCAACCCCAGTTTATTAATACCCCTCCAAAAGTGGTCTGATTCCGCCACATTTCACCCAGGGAAAAGCACCCCCTGTTGAGACACTGGTTGGTTGATGAAAATGGGGTCAACATCGCCACGTCTCCAAGCGACTTCCAAACCATGGGGCGCGGCATGGCGCGGCCCCGCGCGGCCGCGAAAGTCCCGCCAGATCGCCGTTATCGAGAATGAGATCGGCGCTCTCGGAGTGGACGGTGCCTTGGTGGCGAATTCTCACGCCGAGGCCGGGCGGCCGGCCGCCGGGCATCGGGAGGCCGCGTGCGAGGGGCCACGTGGAGCCAAAACCAAGTTGAAAGGGGGACCTAGCTTTGTGGTGATTTGGTAACGGAATTTTGGACTTTAGCTTTTTGGACACAGGTCAGGTTTTCCATTGGACCCACAAAAAGTGTTTCACTTTTTGCAGAGGGATCACCAGCAACCAAGCTAGACAATAAAACATCCACATAACAGAAACGGGGCCGAAAGAATGGGACGTATAAATGGGAGGAGTGGATTGGCAAAATCGTGCAGCTGGTGGCTAATCCCATATGGTTTCACCCATCCCTGCCGGATTTGGTCCATACACGTTGCATGATCCTTGGAAACCCTGCAAGCCCCCATCCCAGACGGTGCCAGAAGGGTTTGTTGACCACTCAGATGCTCGAAGGGTTCCCCGAACCAAGCGCCAAGCAGAGGCTTTTTGCCATGATTCTCCATGGACTCTAGGCAGGCTGCAAGTTTTTCTTCAACGTCCAAAGCCTTCGTGTATATGTTTGGAGTTGTATCATATCTACCTGTGCGTAAGCAAAGCATACACGCGCACAAGGTTGCGCTAGCACGTGTCGCAAGCAAAACCTTCACATGTGTCGCACAAGCTGAAACATGCGTTGCGCAAGGTATTCGCAAGCAGATACGACCTAATAAATCACCGCACGCTAACGAACACAACTCACGTAACGACTTGTGTAAACGTGTACCTTAATCATAATGGTGTCTTCTCCATCACAAGGACAGACATGATGCCTGTGGTATATTTGCACTCAGAGCAGTTCACTCAATCCAGCGATGGAAACATGAATGTGGGTGTGGGTTAGTTCAGACAAGCAGACAAGCAGGGATACTGGGGAAGCAGGAATGTGGACATATTTGTCTGGTAATATGTAGACATGTTTTCCTTTACAGGGAATCCTCGCACATCCCCGCTTCCCCGTTCTTCCGCGAAGTTGTGTTTGTGTTCTGAGAGTTTGTCGAGGCAGATGGCGTGATCGAACTTGCCAATGGCCCGGCGCCTTGATGGAGATAGTTTGGGAGTGCGAAAGTGTGTGCCAACGTCCGATACCCGACTCAGGTTGCCTTGACGTTTCTCCTTTTTAGATTCCTCCAATTTCCCTAGGAAATACGTTACCATTTGTAGTCGTTTGTAGTCGGTCCTAAGTCTGTCCTAGTTCTGAAGCTGTGACGCAAGTCTTCAGATTTGCCACGACTGCCTTAAGTTCATGGGAACTCCACTAGGGTCTTGGCCGCTCGGCATGCCGATGCGGCAACTACAATCTGTCTACCATACTGATCAACGATGCCCAGATCCATGGAAATGTCGAGGTTTGAACGGAGCTGTGATAAACAGCAGGTAGACTAGTTCAGTCTATTTCTGGGTGTTTGCCTGGAAATCTGCAATTCAATCCACAACACCTTGCAGCCCTTTTCCATCCCATGTGGATGTGTGTGTGTGTGCTGTGTTTGTGTGTGTGTGTGGGCATTGTCACATCACAACATGCTGATTTCAGGCCATTGTTGCCATTGCCTCCTGACATGATGACATGATGACATGATTTTGGAATACTTCCTTATGTTGTGGATGCTACTGAGTTGAGCCTTGTCGATTTCGTTGATCGACCCAGCCCCCAGCATCCAATCAAGGAGATACGAAGCACTTGTTGTCTTGGATGAGGGTTCAAGGCAAGGGCTGAAACAGCAAACACGCTTTGACAGGGGATCCGATTGCTTGCACAGGACAATGTCTTTTTTCACATCCATCTGGAACCTGTTTGTTACCCAGAAACAAGAGTCACCACAGACTTAGAGACTTGCTTTTGTCCAAGCCCTTGGCTTTGTTGACACAGACAAGCTCTTCAAGGTGTCCATTTGGAACCCTTTGCTGGAACCCTGAAAAAAAACGTCGCCAAAGACGCGGAGAGTTATTTAAGCCCTGTGTTTGCTAGGTCCCCCAGTAGCGCCCTTTTGCCCCTTTGTTGGAGGAGGGTTCCCCTACTAAAATAGACTACAGAGAAAAGTTGGTACCCTTATTCTATCCTCTCCACTGGAGGACCTAGTGTGCGGGTCAACCCCACTGTGCCATGAGGCTGCCTGTGCTGCTCTGCAGAGGTCGACCTCATCGCGGCCTTTGAGGCCATCGGATCGATCCGAGCTCCGGTTCGGGTTTACGCGGTGTGGGCCGGGTTAACCGGAGCGAGTGCCTCATGTCCGTGCGATGCCAAGATCAACTTGATTGATTAGATTGAGTTTCAGTTTCTGTTTGGGTGGGGTGTTTCCACGGGGCATGTATGAGATGCTGCTGAGTGAATTTGGAGAGCCATGGTCCAAGCACCCTAAGAGCCTACCTGGATCCAGCTATGGCCACGTTGGTTGATTTTAGAGCAATGGGGTGCTCGTCTTTTGTTGGAGGGGGGCCCTTTTTTTTGTGGTTTTAGAGGCAAACAAACGGGGAAAGAACTTGTTTTGGGGGTCCAGCCTTAAAAACGCCTCATCCAATGCCGCAGGTAAAGAGCCATGAATCGCGGTTTAGGGGACGGATCGCAAACGAGCGACATGGATGACCATTTACCCGCTTTCCATGCAACGAGCGAGGTTCCCGATGCCCAGCCAGTTTCTGAGTTTTGACCCACGCGAGGCTTTGGTGCGACGTCACCACCTTCGGCCTTTAGATCGCATTGTGGTGGAAACCACCGGCCACTGGGCTGGTTGGGCTCAAGCCAATTGTCTAGACAAGTCGAGCGGTGTCTTGAAGCACGAGGCTTGCTTTGGGCCGAGCCCTTTGACCTCAGATAGACTCAATCTTTAAGGCGGATGTCTTTGGACCGTATGCTGTGTTGGATGTTTAGTGGAACAGGGTCCTGAAAGGAATGCTTGCGGTGGCAGAAGTCAGAGTCCATGTTTGCGATGCGGTTGGTTGATACTGCTTGGAAACCATGGGAAACCATATGAAACCATTGTTGGTTAGTATACAGGGGAATCATCATTCCAGGTTTCTTAGGTTGTGCGAAATGGATTTTGTCCATCCAAAGTATTGACGAGCTTCACGGCAGCTGCATTCGGGTGAGGGTCAAAGTTATTTTTGCCGTGTACTGCTGGGTCGTGTGCAACACTCTTTTAGTTGCATGTACACATCTCGATTGTATACATACATATATATATATATATGTATACTATCTATGTATAATATGTATGTATGTATGTATGTATGTGTATATATATATATATATTAAGTATTACACACTACCCAAAAACAACTTCCCCCAACCCTTGATCGAGCGAGTTTGCCTCTTCCCCAACCCTCCCAATACTATAGTTGTATCCCCTCCAAAAGCTAAGCCCCTCCAGCTGGGAGGCAACTGTCTTTGGCTACGCCTTCTGTGTTGATTTGAGCCAATCCCCCCCGCTCCCCCCCCCCCCCCGCCCCCCCGGGCCAAAAAAGCGCCACACTTGGCTGTGGCTCAAAAATCCGGAGGCCAAAACCTGCGTAACCCTAGCTCTTTAATTTTGAGCCATACCCACTTGCAGGGTCCCTCTCTGCTCATACAAACCACTACCCCTTTTCAAACATGGCAGCGGACAAGGGTCCTTTTCGAGAGGATGCTCCAAAACCCAAAACTTTACGGATTCACCGTTTATTGGAAAGGTATCCCCTTGAACCGTATTCAGAGTGCATGATTGGAAAGTTTTCCCCTTGAAGCAAATTAGAAGTCCATGATCGGAAAGGTTTCCCCTACGAATTCAAAGCCCATGATGAGACATGGTTTCCTTTAAACCTATCAAAATACTCAAGCAACAGACACACACACACACACCTTCCATTTGCTTAAGCATACTTTGTATTTTTTCCCTTGTCGGTTTTTGAGGGAATCTATCACCACTGGATTGTTTTGTTTTCTTTCTTTCTTGTTTTGTCCGGCGCGCTTCAGCAAATGGAAGCCACCACCAAAAGAAACGCATACCCCACGACATGGTTCCCTTTGGGACGGAGCGAGGCTTGGCCGACCTCGGGCCTGCCAGGGCCCAAACTTGGAAAACGAGAAGCCGATTCGCCGAGAGGGAGCTCTGACAGGGCTGTGGTTGATCACTCGGGGTGTATCCAACCACTGTGATAGCTTCGGGAATCTCCCCCTTTTTTTGTTTACCTTTAATTAAGGGGGAGGGGGGGTCTTTGTCATTTTTCTTGTATCGCAGAAGTGGATTCCAGTGGTGAGGCTTGAGCCCGTGCCAGGCTCGGACCATGACTCGGCCTATTGGACGTATGGGACGTACAGACTGTGGACGGTTGCGACATCCAGAAATCGCACCACTGTTTAGACAAAATATGGCGTCTGATTCGATTCAATCCCCAGCGTAAATGCCAGCAAACCAGGGTTTCAACCATGGTTTCAAAGTGACGCAGGATTGCGTCCATCCACAGTTTGTTTTGTCTCAGCCTTGCTCTCGTTGAAATTGGCTGTCAAAATTGTTGAAAGGAGGGCATTCACGCAGAATTGCATCGAGAATCATGGTGTCCGATTGCTTCGGTCGCCATCAGGTCATCTCCATTTTAGAGGATTCCACAGATCCACTTTCAGAGGAGAGGATGCCGTGCATCTGCTGGGAATCATCAATGGTCACAAAGTGCCAAGAAGCCACTAGAATTCAGCTGCTCAGCGAGTCGACTCTATGGGACGAAATAGAGAAGCGACGGGTCCTGCGAACGCATGAGTTTGCATGAATGTGTTTTTGGTGAAGGTACATTTGTCCCTTTGTGGGACTATTTGCAAGGCCCTTATTTAGAGAGACCAGGTCATAGGACCATCATGTCAGCATACTGCAATATAGTATTGGCTGAGGCGCAGGTGTGAGTACTGTGTTTCTTGGTTGCACCGAACCACTGCTTCAGCAGTGCGCCGAAACCAGTTGATACATTCGGAAGGGGAGTTGTACTGTCCTAGTCAACAAAGATTACACAACACTTTACCATGGTCTCACTGACTTGTGTTGATTGTCACTGCTTGTCAGTTCCAGCCGTCAAGTATGTGATTATATCATATTAGAAACATATATATTTATATATATATATATATATATACATGTATGGCAAGATCCACTTGATAGATCTGGCAGGACTTGTACCTCGATGGTGTCGTGACGGTGGCTTGCGGCTCAGACTGGAAATTTGTGGATGTCAAGCTCATGTCATCCAGGCAAGGTACCATGAGATATTATGTAATGTAATACGTTATGCTACCCGGGTCCACCATTGATTTTGGGCCCTCAAAGCTGGTTGTTTCCAAGGGCCTTTGAGAGGTTGGGGTTCTCCATTGGAGGACCCTGGCGTATGCATTGGAGGGGTCATGACCCTTAGAATATGTGTATGCAGTACCAAAGCTTAGCCCCTGGTCTCCTATCACGATGATGTGCGCGGGACACACGATCCTTCCTGATGAGCATGCGCATGTCCCTGTCTGAAAAAGTGCATTCAAAACCTACAACTTGCTATAATTATCCCGACAAATGTTGGAGCGGGGTGAGAGGAAGTTTCCCCCGCTCCGCCGAACATTTGCCGCCATGTGGCTTCTCCAACTGTGACTGGGCTGCTCAAAGGCAATCCCTAACCCTCGCGTCATCACGAAAGCGGTGTGACTCCCCGTGAATCACATTCTCGTAATGATAGAGGTATACTCCGGGAGTTTGAACCGCGAGTTTGAGTCTCTTGTTTGGTTCGAAGTCAACCCTGGGAACTGATGCACATACCATTTTTCGTGTCACGTGTAGGTCTAAACGAGTGTTTGAGGCACTCCTTTGGCTTGGTGTTTGTCGGGAAACCGGCGGTCGGCAGGTCCTGTATTTCTTCCACATGCATTGTGAGCGCTTGACCCACCACCCTTACTCAGAAGTCCCGTTGCACAGCCTTGAACCCCGTGGAAAACTTATCTCTCACGGTAGGCTCTGTATGTCAATGCAAAGAGCTCAAAGGACTCACGTCCCGAGTCCCGAGTCAAGGTGGACGTGTGCAGCTTCCAGCGCTGGGCTTCAGGTGGCCGTCTCAGGGCCTTCCAGAGCTTAGCCCGGTGTGGCTATACGCAAAACATATACGGTAGCTCCTTCCAACCCGAAAAAAGTATATGTTCCTTTGGTGGACTGAAAACTTCGTATATGCATGTCTACTTCCCGAGTTCCGCGATTCTATATTTTGGGGCAAGACCATTTTGGTGGCAAGCAAAAAAACATGGACTCGTCTGGCCAATGCACTCAGGGAGTCTTGGTTGTTTTTGGTTTGACCTTCAACGATTGTACCTCCAACACGCAGATGTCGTTCGCATTGACCAGCAAAGAGGTCCTTCTACTCCGGGGGGCAAAGACCAACAGAGATGTGAGGAACCGGCAAAGTGACACGTCGAGTTCATTGCTGCCAGCATCACTGCTTCACATCATGGCGTACAGGTTGTCTTGGCCACGAGGTCTGGTGATCGAAAACACGGCAACGCATGGTGCCAGTCGGCACACAAACAGGAAGACAACGGGCGTTTTCACATTGCTTGGGTGGTTTTTAGCGGGTGATATGTTCCTTGTACTTGTGGGGTTACAAGCCAGCGCTGTTGCATCTTGGCTTCTTGCTAGAACAAGGCCTCAACTGGTTTTAGCGGAACCTTATGTTTGTATGTACATACATACATACATACATACATACATACATACATACATACATACATACATACATACATACATACATACATACATACATACATACATACATACATACATATACACCTACTTACATGCGTACCTACATACATGAATACATGCACATATGCACATATGCATACATACATACATACATACATACATACATACATACATACATACATAGATAGATAGATAGATAGATAGATAGATAGATACATGGAATACATACATACATACATACATACATACATACATACATACATACATACATACATACATACATACATACATACATACATGCACACACACACACACATACATGCATGCATCCATGCATGCATGCATGCATACATGCATACATGCATACATATACATATACATATACATATACATACGCACATACATACATGCATGCTTGCATACATACATGCATGCATGTATGCATGCATACATGCATGCATACATACATGCATACATGCATGCATGCATACTGTACATACATACATACATGCATGCATGCATGCATGCATGCATGCATGCATGCACTGTACATACATACAGACAGGCAGACAGACAGACAGACATACATACCTGCGTACTTACATACATGCATGCGTACATACATACATACATACATACATACATACATACATACATACATACATACATACATACATACATACATACATACATACATATGTATATATGAGCACCCAGCAAAGCAAACCATGAAAATATATCTCCAGACCACATGCGCAACCGATATGGGACGCCCCTAAAACAGACAGCTGTCGAAGAATTGTGACCTATATCCAGAATGAACGGAGCATTGCTCCATTGACACGGCAGCAAGGCACCCTGCAACAGACCGGCACCAAGAGTCCAGAAGTCTGTGGGTCAAAACCAATGGTACCATTTTGGGGTAGGTGCACCACCCATTTTAGTCTATTTTAGTGGGGATTGGGATGTTCACTGGGGGTACGGGATTTTGACCCACAGCCAGAAGCATTTGATTTTGAATGCTTTTCCAGAAGTCACGCATTGTTCGGCCGATACCCCAAATACCCCGACCCAGCTGCCAAAGCGAAGTGTGCACAGTCTACGACACACAGTTCCGAATTTTCATCCAACCCAAGTACTTCTATCTCTTGACGCAAACATCATGCGGCGATGCGTTCTGCGCAATACTGAGAACTAAATTGAGACGCCCCTCATGAATTACGATTGCCTTTTTGCAGATGCTGATTTTGCTGTTGGCCGCTGTGATTACGTGTGTTTGCGTAAGATCGCCTACCCCTAAAACTGGTGAGGGTTTCCATGCCGTTTCCCTTTCACCAGGGGCCTCCTCCCAATTCTAGCAGAAATGTCTGCCGCCGAACTCGACAGCCGGAGGAGGAGAGGCTCCCGTGCCGGCATGGCCTGCTGGGCAAGAATTCCACCGGTCGCACGGGTTGTGCTCCGCGCACGGGTCGCTGAGCGCACGTGCCGGTGTGGCGGAAAATGTTTTCCGCTGTTGGTTGTAAAGGGAATCTATCACTATTGGACATATGTTTAGTTTTTCCAGGGGGCTTAAGCAAATCGAGGTCTACTGGTTCTAGAATGTGTGTGTGTATAGAATTATATATAGAGATACACATCCAGTTTGTGTTTTGGCCTGGAAGAAGTGGTCTTCAGATTTCGGACGTCTCGAAGTGAGCAATCGGCTTGTTGCGCCCTTGCGCCAGGGCCAGTGGCTTTGGCACCGCCCAAGCTGAAGCCCAGGCGCGAGTCCGGAGGCGTTTTGGGTTTTAAACCGGGCTGTAGGTGTCTCAAATTCGGGGGCCACACAGCTGAAATTCAGGTATTTTTAAATAATAATATACCTGACTTGTATTAAATGAGTTGTCCTGCTTACTCAGTCGCACATGGATTGCAAAGTTGTTCGGCTCTGGGTGTTTTCTTCGATCTAGCTCTTTTGATACTTGCCAATGCGATTTCCCCAAATCAGCCTGCCCTGGGCGCGTGATGTTGCAGTCGAAGTGGTATCATTTGGCCTGCAGGTCTTTCGCAGAGTCAGTAGACAGAACACCAAAGCGAACCTATCAAAGAAACTAGCTGCGGGAAGGACAGCAGCAAGCAACTTCGGTCGGCGCTCATACCCTGACACATGTCCACACAGAAGCAATTAGTGTGTCACAATTTGCTAGCCAGCTTTGTCACACTGCGTTGTATTCCTATACATATATATATATATATTTGTTTAGTACATGATATATGGTTGCGAGTCCTATGTTCAAACCACAAGGGGATCAACTTACCATTTTCAGAAATGCACCAATTGCAAGTTTGAGAAGCACTGTTACGGAACCCCTTTTACTATGAGAGGAGTGGTGTGTGAAAAACGGGTTGAAAGCATCTTTCTGGCAGCCGGTTTCTTTGGACACCCATTTTGCACTCGTCTTGCAGGGGGCAGCACCTGGGCGCTTAGCCGCCTTGCGTAGCTTCTGGCGCCAGGCGGCACCGGCTTCGCAGAAATTGGATGCGGTTTTTGCGGATCCCCTTGCAGAATATTTATCAAGTACGAAAAGAGTACTAAAAACGAATCTACAGTGGCGAAGAACCGGTGAAATCCGCAAAAAGCGCATCCAAACCGTTTTCTTGACATTTGAGCCGCTCCGGATGAAGGTGAATGTTCACCCTCTATGAATCAACCCCAGTTTATTGACAGGGTGCTTTTCCCTGGGTGAAGTGTGGGGAATCAGACCACTTTTGGAGCCAAAAGTCACCTTTCAATAAGCTGGGGTTGATCAATATGGGGTCGACATGATTCCCAGTGAAGCTGGGTGGCTTTGGCCAAGGCTAGCCTTGCTCTTTGAGCCCAGGTCGCCTTCGCAGATCAGATCCTTCTCAGCAAGGCCAGGACCCCCTTCAACAAAGGCGACACCCGAAAAAAGGCACCAAACTCCCTCACCCCAATTGCACCTACTCAAAAGGTTGAAAGACGAAGAAGAAGAAGAAGAAGAAGAAGACATAAAAGCATAATTTGGTGGCTCCCGGCCATACCCTTAGCTTTTCAGCTTTTTAGTATTTAGTGGGGATTTCCATGCGGGGGATCTGAGGACAGCCCACACAAGGCATGCTTGTCATTTGAGCTTGGCCAGTTGCCAGTCCACTCAGCAAGTCGGTGCTGATGTTTGTCGTTTCGGTTCGTTCCGTTGTCGAAGCTGGAGGCTGCAGAGATTGGTGTCACGCTGTGGGTCAAAACCAATGCGATACCATTTTGGGGTAGGTGCACCATCCACTTTTAGTCTATAATAGTGGAGATTGGGATGTTTATTGGGGGTACAGGCTTTTGACCCATGGCCGTGTGCATTTGGACTTCAGTTGCCGCATCCATCCGCCCTGCCTGGGAATCGCATCCGGAGGAAGATCTTGCTCCGGAGGCGCGGGGAATAGACAGAGAGCTAGCAAGGCGTTTGCTGAGAATCCTTAGCTGGGTTGGAAGTTGGAAGTCAACACACACACACAATCACCCAGGGCTGCTTGCTGGAACTTTGTGACAAGACAAATTAGCAAGGAACATAGACAAGCACGTATGTGTATGCACTAGGAAATGGCATTTGTTTCCATTTTGCATATATCTGTATCAAGGCCTTGTCGTTTGTTGTGTTGAGCGCGACTCGTGTGTTGCTAGCTCAGGAGGAGTCGAATCCGGATGGGCACGCTCCTTTTCATTGTGCAGCAAAATGTGGCTACTTGAAACTGGTTCGTTCTTGGTGGAAGAGGGCGCTGACAAGGACCACCAGAGCCATGCACGTTATTCGCCCCTATATATACTGCCGTCGAGAATGGGTGCTTGCCGGAAGTCCGTGCTGCCGCAAGCAATGCCAGCCACCCCTTTTCTCCTTGCATGTTGCTGCCACTGACGGAGAGAAAGTTGTTCGTTGCTGGATGCGCTGACAACAGGGTTGACATGTTTGGGCACGCTGCAGCTGGCCACCTGGAAGTTGCACTCTTCTTGCTTGGGACTGAAATCCTGTGACCTAGCTGTGAACAACGGCCATGAGCAGTGCTTAGAAGGCTGGGAGATGACTAGGCTACAGATATAGTAGGCAACTTTCAATCCATGTACAGTGCGCATGATGTTGGCAAAAGGGTCTGCAATTGACATGCATACCCATGTCCTTTGCCAGCACGTCAGAAATAGCTGGTGGACATCAAAAGCCATGTACGTGGTCATTACCCATGTCTTTTGCATTGCTGGTCTGCAGCGAGGATGTACTTGAGCACCAGAAACTCCCGGCTGAGGTGGCCCCGCGCAGGAATGTAAAGGATCGTCATGGATCGCTGGAAGGGAAGCAGCCCCAACTGATCAAGCGCACGCCATGCACCGCGCAAGTGATGCTCAAGTAGATAATAGTATTCTTTTTTGCTCGGTTCTGCCACGCATGTTGGCTTACATTCTCACAAACTGAGGGGCAGCTGGGAAGAGAGGGGGAGATACATTGGATCAACTGAGGCAGGCTTATTGTCTCAGGGCAACAGGACAGAATGCTGGATTGGAGGCGGCAACGTGCGCCATTGGCAAACCTGCAGGCAGACGTGGTTGCACAGCTCAGAGCGGCCAACCCACTCGCAGAGGCAGAGTCGATGCGTCGATGCTCGCCGTTCTCAGCTGTCCCTTGGGTTGCCCAATGTTAATTAGTCAAGGACCACAAAGGCGTGCGTTCCCTTTGCATGTTCCCAGTTGGTTGTTGATTGGGGTATTGTCCTTCATGGCCACAAAATGAAGCCGCAGCCCCAAACATCCCTTTCACACGTCTGAAGATGCTGCCAAAACTCCAAACACGGGGCCTCGAAAGGACCCGGACATAAAACATGTATAGAGGTCCTGCAAAGCCATCGCGTGCAGATCCTATCTGCGGCTGCTGCGGCCCCGTTGCCCCCGTCGAGCGCTTGGGCACTTGAGTTGTCGTGCTTGTGACGGAGGCCTTCTCTAAAAGATAGTCGCGAAGTCAGCAGCCGCTGACCAAAGTGGACGCCTTTGGATATATGGAGGGTTGCTCGGGAAAATGTGCTCCATTATTATCAAGGTCCTTTTCTTCGGGATCTCTTATCAGTTCAACAAGTTGCCACAGCATTGCTGCAAATGTTCAGGAATGAAGAAAAAGCTCTGAATAGTCTTCAGGCTTGGATATTTCTTTTCACGAGCAACGTTGCACAATCTGCTTGAGCAAGGCAAGGACATCTTGCCTTCGGCCGTTTGTAGACAAGCCTTCGGACCCATGAGAGGTGTTTTCTCCTAAGCTCTGGCCACTTTGAATGGTTTGCCCCCTGTTCCACCTCCAACACACACACACACACACTTCCCATCCACTAATTAACGTGGAACCCGACGTTTCGGGGTCCTGGAAAACAGTTTTCCTTTGAATGGGATTCTCTGGGGTCCATGACAACGTGGACGGGAGGTTGTAAGTGAATATTTTTGATTCAAAATGGGCGTTCACAGCTCAGTCCTGAAACTCCATCGAATTGACTTATGTGTGAGGTGTGTTGCTGGACTTCACCCCGCTTAGGAAGAATGTGGCAAGCTTCCAGCCTTTACTTTTGCAGACCTGCGATGGCGCAGAGCAAGAAGTTCAGACCCTTTTTCTGTGCCAATCCCTTCAGAAGTGAGTCAACGTATACCAATTGATCCCTTTCGATCGCGCCGAATCCGAGGCCCCGGAATGCTCGCCGCCTGCCAGAAGGCGCTGGGAAGATGTCTGCTTACGGAAGCTTGGCCGAGTGGCGTGTCGGCATGTCGCGGTGACTTCGTCTTTAGCACGAAAGTAGACCAGCAGTTTCACTTCCCAGCAGAGCTGCAAGTTGCGTCATGGATTCTGACAACCCGGCCTCCGGGTACATGCAGGTTAGGCAAAATCCCAACCATGCACGGTGCCTTCGCCTCTTCAATTCTGCACATGGTCTTGGGGATCGACCATTTTAATACCGGCTGATGATTCATATTAGCGCCCACAAAATCTGGGTATATACCATTTGGATACTAGGTGTTGATTATGATTCATATGGGCGCCCTATAGAAAACTTCCATGTTGTTGTTTGCTCCCTGTTGGTTTTAAGGGGAATCTATCGCTACCGCAAATATGTTCCAGTTTTTTCCCGTGGACTTCAGCAAATGGAAGAAACCCAAAGTGACCAGAGGTGCATTTTGCAAAGGGATGTTGGGACTTTAACTTCTTGCCACATGGATTTTCCGTATTGAACCACGAAAAGTTCTCAGCTTTTCGCAGGGCTTCGCAGAGTTCGCACCCGAGCGACACGGGAGCCGTCGCAGGTCTCGAGCTGCGACCTCCCGGGGCTCGAGGACCCAGTGGCTCCCACGTCTTAAAGGGGCGATGCTATGAGGAGAAAGGGGAGCCCAGAAAAAGGCCTTAGTCTGGGCTTGTTGGGCCTTGACGGCACTTGAACACCTTATTTGGGCTCCCTCCCCCCCAGCCCCGATGATATGAACCTTGGTTTCAAAAGGAGAGGCTATGCTAAGCAATGTGGCCAAAGCCGCTGGCACGTATGTATATATAGAATATGATATAATGTATGTGTATGTATATAAAATTATATGAAAGCCTTCTGAAATCCGACTCTGGCCATTGAAGCAATCTGTGAAATTCAAGAAGACGCGCTTCTGTCCATTCGGAACACCTACGAAGCTTATATAAATGACGGAGGCATAGCCTGGATGTTCGCGATTGGAAAGCTTGCCACGTTGCACCGCTGCCTGATATGCCAATTGCCCCAGCTGGTTGGTGGAGGCCGTTGTGCAAGCCCAGATCAATCAGGTAGCATGTTTGCTTCAATTGGGGGGTTTAGACATGGGATATACTTTCTGTTTGGAAACTTCTGCGACCCCTCTTAGTTCAACAACAAATAGTGTCTTGCGCACCTTTGTGACCTGCATAGCCCTTTCTTTTTGCACTGCCCCAGCGTGCGCTGACAGCATGCAAGGATGCAACGGCATGTGACGTTTGGCAGCTCAAGACAGAGAACGTGAGCTTGAAGCCAGGCTTGAAGATGTGAATGGGATAAAACCTCGCTGGTGCAGAGTTTGCTCTATCAGTCCCCAGACCTTCTGTGAGTTGGTTCCTTTCTTTTCAACTTGTCCATTGTAAATCGACGACCAGAAGAGTGCCCTTTTTGCCCTTGCACATTGTCATGATCTTGGAGGAAAGAGTCACTTTGAATCATGTTTCCTTGTTCCATTCAGGGATTGTCAGGGTATACGGTGAGAGTGCCAGTCTGAAACTCTTTCAACATGCCCATGTTCTGGATCCATTTGACGCGGTGAACTACAATTCATGTTCGCAAGGCTTGTCAGCCTGGCTTCCTGGTTTGCTCACTTCCTGAATTCCTGGACTTCAAACTTTTTGGAAGGTCATTTTAGTGCTAAGCAAACAGTTTGCACTTTTTGGGCCCTCTACTCGATCGGAAGTGAGCTTATTTGCTGGTTGGCGGTCCAAATTCGAAAGCCACTGAAACCCATGACGATGAAAGATACACATCGTCTAACACCTAAATGGGTCCAGCACACTCTGCACAGACTTGGTTAATCCTCGCTCCACTTTGGCGAATCCAGCCATGGGCGAGTGGGCAGAAGTGCTCGATCGCCTCCTCAAAGAAGTTCAGGCCGGGCCGAACCCGTTTTCTGACCTCCATTCTGCAATTTGGCTCATGGACCCCCAAACAGGCTGGTCAAACAAGAAAAGAACAACAAACAAGTTCTTGGGCCGCACGGCAATTACCATTGGTCCTTGGGCCCATCGCCATAGCCGATGTGGGAGCGCAAAGGGCGCCAAGTTGGGGCGCAGAGTCCCGCACCTACCCTTGCAATTCCTCGCGAAACAAGAACTAACATCATGTTTTGGCGGTTTCCCGGGTCCCGCCCCAATTTCCGGGAACCTACCTGGACCCACTCGATGTTGACTGTGGACAGTACTAACAAACATGAGGAACCTTTGGCAAAATGAGCAGATTTCCAGATTCACCCAAGCCTCGAGTGGCCGCATTCCGGGGCAGCAACTACCTAGACTTGAAGTCGCTACCGCTTCATTCTGGCGTTTGTGGTACGATGAAGACTTGAACTTGGGAAAGTTGCAAGCCGGGAGTTTCAGCGTTCCATGTAGCAGAGGCAAATCGACACATCGAAAAACACGCACACCACATGAATCCGGACTGCGTTCATGCTGGTGTAGAATGGCGATGACTCTTTGTCTCTTTGGACGCCCCCGGATTGCGTTCCATGCGGAGTTGGTACTTGCCCACAAAACGGTGACTTCCAGAGTTGTGTGTACGAATCTCAGGTATTCCTACTATTTGCTCCAGCTCCTGAAGGCGTTGCCCATTTCCTGATCTAGCCGCGCGCACAAATACAACCCCTGTAGAACGGTGAGATTTCCTCTGTGCAACGGCATGTGGCCTACCATGAGCTTTGTCTTTGACCGCAGGAGGACCCGGCATGCAAGAAGATCATAGAGGACTCGCTGTCATACGCAGTCTACGCAGTCGCGAAGAATGACAGCGACATCAAGGATACCCTCCGAAACCGCATCAAGGCGTGCAGCGGGGAACCGTTTCTGAAAATTCCAGTTGTTCAAGTGCCTGCATGGATGATTCTCGCAAACAGAGAGAGAGAGAGGCATGTGTGTGGCCATTCATATATCTATCATACCGTGTCGCGGAGTTGAGATCTTCATTCAGCACTGCAACATGAGCCACCGCCTTGGCTTAAACATGGCATGCATGATCGAAGTGTTGTGTCTCGCAATCAGTTTTGGCTTCTTTCATCCCTTGTTGGTTCACATGAGCTTCAACCGGTTGCATGCTTTTTAAGCGGGTTCCACTCACGGTGGCGGATTTGTGACACGGTTGCTTGACAAAGTGGCAGGTGAGGAGCTGGCCAAGTGTTGGCGAGAAGATCGAGTTGGACATTCTGTGGCCAGGCCGGGGGCCAAATTTGCCGCACTTTGTTTGTGTGAAATGACGACTCCCGCCCTGGAGACAATGGGAAGGTCCGTGAATGTTTGGCAGGTGCACGTGCTTTTGGATAGGCCGACACGGCCAAGCGGCATGCATGCGGGGGGTTACTTGCAGACTAATACCCCGTGCAATCATGGTAGCATGATGGAAACTTGAAAGAAACAAGAGAGAAGGGTGCCTTGCCTGTGAACACGGAGCATAGTCCACTGCTAGCTTGTTAGCTTCTTACGCAGAGCGTTGACGCTCAAAGATGTAGGCACGAGTCATCTAGATCCAGGCTCTGAAACGGGTCGCAGGGATCTATGCAGTAACCACCAATACTCAACAAGGGTATGTCTTGTAATAAATTCACAGGGTCATGTACATGGGGCGTGTTTGTTTTTGGTACCCATGTTGCATGGTTTTAAGGGAAACCAAACGACCACCCTGTGTGAGGGTTGCCCTATCTTGAGACAAACCCACATGTGTTCATGTGAAATCATGCTGAAGTGAAGACCGCTCGCTTTGGAGCACGTCAAATTGAACCAACATATTTCAAGTGGGGATCTTTGGCTTCGAGTTTTTGACAAGCATCGGTTACTTGGATGGCGTTTTCGAGAGTTCTTCCGGTAAAGGGTGCAATCAACATGCGGAGGATGGAAGCAACCTCCAAATTGCAAGCCGCAGGGCTAGACACAAGGCAAAGGAGTGAGGGAGAGCATGTGATTTCTTCATCATTTGCCGCTGTTGCCTTGCTTGCAGCCACTCTAAGCGCTTGTTGTTCGTGACCAACCAACTAAACCTGCACCAGGACGCCAAAGAGACGTCCTGATCTTAATTAAACTTGCCTGTCTCAGCCACCCTTAGCATGGAACCAGACGGCCTGCTGCATTCTTGCATAGCTCTCCCCCGCACGGATCCCTCGAGCTTCACACAAAGGGCCTAGATAATCAGAGATTGTTTGTGCTTCACTTTGCAAACAGGCAAAGTAATGATCTTGCTGGTTCTTAGATGGGAATGAGGGAATGACCCATCGTATCGCACCAGCAGCAAGTGATAGGAGCAAGCTGCTGTGGATGGACGAACACCATTTCGCACCACCTTGGAAACCATGGTTGCAAACTTTATTGGATGGTATTTACGTAGGGGCATCGAATCAGAAACCCGGGGTTCTGGTTCCGGTGGTGCGACTTCTGGCTGTTCGCAACCATCCATAGATGTTCGCAACCATCCATGGTCCACAATAGGGAGTCTTGGGGATGAACCATTAGGGGATTCCCTTAAAGGACACCAACTCCAGACTGCCACATGGCAAATCCAAGACCAAATTCCCTTTACGGTTACTATGTGGTCGTCTTCATGGAATTTATTGGAGACCACCAGTTGGATGGTTGATGAACGAACCTAGGGATTCCCTTCAAAAAACATGCAGCCAGTTGGATTGTTTACAGGGCTCATTGCCCCAGGGTGATGGGAATGAACCGTTTTGCTCGTAAGTCCTTTCCCGCTCACCGCTCGCCGCTTCGCAGGTGCTGGCTACAACTCGGTGGCCTGCGGCGGCAGCTTCGAGGTGCTCGCGCAGCTTCAGAAGCAAGGCCCGGCTTCGATCCGCTCGGTGTGTTGGGTCACAAAAAGACGGCGCCTTTTCAAGGGACAGCCAAAAACCAGATCTGGTGTTGGGTCAAAAAAAGCAAACGGCGAGAAGTGTTGGACCAAAAGTTTTGGCGCGGCCAGGTGCCAATTGAACAGGGGATACCAAACATGACCCCCATTGACAACCCTCCCGCCCCTTTTGTTGGCATAAGGCTCGCTAATTGTGGGACCATAGGATCCGCAAGTGGTTCCTAGGCTTGGTAGGGGCTACCTAGGGGTGTGGGATCCAAGCAAAATCATGGCGGCTGCAAGGCTCAGTGAAGAAAGAGAAAGGGAAGCCCATTTTGCAAGGTCCCCTAATTTTGGCAGACACACACGGATTTGAGTCTAAGCGAGCGCCAGTGGAAAGACACACACACACACCCACTCTGCCTTTCTGTGCTTTGCAAGTGCCGCAAGGGGTTCGACCAGTGTTCCGCTTGGGCTGTGTTTACTTGGCACGTGTGATGTCTGCGGAGCTTGCAAAGCTGAGGCATGCTTCAGGCGGAAATGCCGCCAAGTCCAATTGGAAGATATAGGCACTGCAAATCCATTCTGATCATTGCTCCACTTCAGATTGTTTGCTGGGCATGTTGCCCGGCTTGGTATCGAATCAGCAAGCATCCGTGTGGTCACGTGAAAGCAGGAAGGAAAAGCAAGTCAGCCAGAGCGCCCCGCCAGGTCTAAAACGAAGGCCAGGTAGCACAGATTCATTT